ATAAACTGAATAGAATTGGTTAGGGCAGAAGGTCGACCTCCCCAAGATGGCGCCTGTAATTCCTGCGCCCTGACAGTCAATGCAGTATCCTCTCTTAAAATATGTCTATGTTAAATTACACCTGTTATACTTTCGCTTATTTCTGTATGCAAGCAGAGCTTTTATTTTGTGCATCACTCCACGCCGTTTCCGGTTGAGGCCTTACGTAGAGACGTCAACTTTACGTAAAGGAGCGCCATTGGTCGAGGTCCGTCCCAGATAATCTTCCCCAATTATTAGCGAAGCGAGTTTATTATGGTTCGAAAGTCATAATAATCCTGATTATAGTTTCTTTGCATTCAGACTGTCGCTGTGGAGCGACAGCAGCAGTCTCCATGGCAACAGAAGAGGGTCGTAAAGCCGAGCCAGAGGTCGTTTTTTCTGTAACGGAGGAAGAAATCAACCGTTGGATGTCTAGAGCTTTTGAAATGGTGAGTTTTTAGTCATAAAATTCGCCACCTGCGTTTGTTTCTTTGGTTATTTGACATTTTTAAACCTCAATTCCATTCTTTGAACAGGAAATAACCTTCCAGCAGAACCAGCCTCAACTGTTTGAAAAAGATTAATTGGTTAAATTTTTAAAAGATAAATCTGGAATTAGTTCAGATAGTTTATTTAGGGATTAAATTGTTTCGTTGTTCCATCAGTCAGCTGTAATGATAATTTCATGACAAACTTTAAATGAAAAGTTTTCTTTAATTAACTCAGGTTTAGCTTTCTGAAGCTGCCTCCTTGGTCCTGCTGGGAGACTGGATTTGGTCCGTGTCAGGACGTGTCCGTGACCGTCCACTCCAGCCCTGGACGGTCCCTGACACGTCTCTGGACGGTCTTCGACACACCAAACCGGCCCTGGACGATCCCTGACACGTCCAAACCGGCCCTGGACGGTCCCTGACACGTCCACTCCGGCTCTGGACGGTCTTCGACACCCGAAACCGGCCCTGGACTGTCCCTGACACGTCCACTCCGGCCCTGGACGGTCCCTGACACGTCCATTCCGGCTCTGGACGGTCTTCGACACACCAAACCGGCCCTGGACGGTCCCTGACACGTCCACTCCGCCTCTGGACGGTCTTCGACACCCGAAACCGGCCCTGGACTGTC